CAGATTTCATACAGAACTGTCGAATGAACAGTGCTTGAAAACATTTGTTCAAATTTGTTTTGGTTTTTTCCCCATGCGGTTTAGTGCATTGTGCACAGAAACTCACAACCATGTTTTCAAGCGGGGTCCTTCACCCTTTATTGCTGGTGCTATGTTTAGCTTGTAGAGCACTCACTGTATTAAGGGTAAAAATTGTTTTTTGCTGGTAAGTGTGTTGGCAATGTTTTGTATTGCTTTTGTTCTATGAAAAGCCCTTTACTTAACCACTTCAGCATGTTTCTATCCAGGCCATTTCTCAGTGCTGGGCTGTACTTTGACCAACAATTACTCATTCAAGCAATAATATACCCAAATTAATTTTATATAATTTTGAGACAGATTAACTTTCTCTCGGTGGTATTTAATAGCCGCCATTTGTATTATATAAAAGGAGTAAAAATATAAAACAGTTTTTACATTCTGTTATAAAACACATTAAATTTATGAAGAACAATTATTTGATGTAAAAAAAATTTATTCTACACTTTTAACCCTTTCGCTGCCAAGGACGTATGGCATACGGACCTACAAAAGTGCTTCCAGCTGGCCAGGTCAGTATGCCATACGGACCTGGCATTTACAGTTCTACTATAAGCTGATGGTCGCTTTAGCGACCATCAGCTTATAGTATAACTGTTCTTGGCCAGCTGATTTGAAAAATGTTCCGGAGGGCTTGGCAGCGAAAGGGTTAAATGGGAAAAAATTCATATATATTAATTTGTCTGCGCGATGGTTATAAAATCTACAAATCTATGATATATGTATCCATATTGAAATTTATGGATGCGGATGTTCTGACTGCCCATCACATTTCTTGAGACCCTAAAATGCCACTTTGGACATGGTAGGCATTTTAAAGTTTTAATTTTATACCACAATTTTTTGGAAAATTAAATTAGATTTTTTTTTTAACAAAGTTGTAATTTTAACAAATTATTTCTCCGACACAGCATGGGCATATTTAGAATCGTAGTCCAAAACACATCACGCTACTCCTCCCGAGTATAGAGGCACACGTGTGGGACTTAGTGTTTGGACTGAATTTGTACCCGACACCACACAAAAATCAAACATCGTATAAAAAAAACAGTATATTCTAATGCTTGCCTCTGTACAAGTGGTAAGGGAAAAGCTGCTCCTGTTCCTTTTAGGCAATCAGGCCTACCAGTACTTGGTTGCCCCAGATCTATACACAATGCTATGTTCATTGGCTAGGAAATACAGGCGGTTGAGCAAAGGGTGAACAGAAAAGTACCTGTGGTTCCAGGACTGCAGTTGTCCAAAAAGGATGGCATGGACTGGCGTCTTGGCAGGAACTTTGTACGAAAACAGGCAAAGGATCGGTCCAGGCAGCAAACAAATGTGGATGGCACCGATACTGGCTGTACAGGTACTGGATGTGCAGGCTCTGGTTGGCACTGGTATTGGTTAAAAAAAATTGCTACTGGAACTGGATGGCACTGGCGATCAGTAAGCTCTCCCTTTGCTCTCAAAACTGATGTGTGTAAGAAAAGGGCGTGATGGATGCTAATTGCAGCCGTATACATTTTGAGACACTGCAATTGGTCACAGTAATCCTGTGGTACTGGATCATACTCACCCGGCCGAGTTTCCAGAGCGGCGTCTGGCACCACCTACACCCTCTGCGTCACTTTGCTCCTCCCCATCTGTCACAAAGCCGGGAGATTTGAAATGCTCAGTGCCCTAGTAAACAGACTCCGAGCATTTCCTCCAACCGCTAACCGCTCTCCATCCTGATCTGATCTTGACGCTCTGCATCCTCCTCTCTCGGATGCTACAGCTGCCTGTTTGGAACAGGCTATGTACTTTGTGTATCACTGATGCGATCCTCTGCAGCCCTCTCGAGTCACGCCAGTCTGCTAAGGCGGCCTCCCCTACATCCAGCAGAACCGCAATATCTTACCCGATCCCTTGATTGGAACCCTGCACCTCTTAAGGCTACGGTACACCGCACCTAGGTATTGATCGCGTCTGAACTTATTAACATTTCCAAAGGATCCGCTTGTGCATCTAGGAGTCCTTCCAGCAGTCACAACCAGGAGGCTCACACAGAGGTGGCAGCACAACTAATTGCAAGTATTCGTTACTTATTCTTTATGAACAGGGCTAATATACTACCTGCATACTGACAGTGCATTCTGTTGGTAATTACTGTTACAGGACTTATGTTGCCCATGTCTGTATGATGTAATACAGCTGAATAGACTTAACTGTATTTCTTTTAATTTTGTTGCTGGAAAAAAAAAAAAATCACCTCTAATCCGCAGCTGTGATCCATTAAGACATTGTGAGTTGTTACTAATGTTACATGTCGATTAGTGTTGCAGGTACAGAGTCACCTACATTGGATCTGTACCTTTTTTGTGATCTGCACTGTCCAATGTACTGTGCTGGTGCACATGCTTTGGGACATGTACCAGCACAGAAAAAAAACAAATGCAATTCAAAAACGGTGACCCCCCTCTGCATGAGAATACTGCATGAACAGGGCGGTGATAAAAGCGGATTTTAAATTGGATTACAGAAGATGCCATTTATATTTTGCTTTCTAGATTTGGCACAGGGACCCACCAGACATCCTTAGCTGCCATTGTGCTGGGCTTCTGGTGAATGCCCGCACCTTTAAAAGGAGGAATTGGCTACCTCCAAACAAACCTGCCGTCAATGTACCCATTGTTATATATGTGCCAAAATGGAGGTTCTCATTGGTTACATAGTTAGGGACCACTTTACATGTGTGCTTTGCCAAGGAAGCTTGGCTTCCACATAGTTTTGCAAATGTATGCAACAAAATACTCTGAGGGTTATTTATCAAATCTAAGACAGAATCTGGAGGAGTTGCCCATGACAAAGACTAAGTGAACAAACTGAAGAAAGAAGCCGATTGGTTACGATGGGCAACTGCTCCAGAAGGTTACCAGATAGTTCTCTTTTAAGCCGTTTCAAATGCTGCTCCTTGATGTTTAAAAGTTTACATTTCCTGCAGAAATTAGCTGGTCTCCTGAAAACAGATACCCTGTTTTAGGGTGGCTCCTTTCCCTTGCAGGGTCCTATGAAGCCACCCTTGTGCTTCATAGTAAGCTGTGTATCTCTACAAAACACCCAGGCAGAGCAAGGCAAGCCACTCCGTGCTCCCCACTCCCCCTTCCAAGCTAGTAGATGAACAGCTAATGATCTGTCCCTTGTGATCTTGTACTGGACAGGAAGCTCAGGGAAGCGTAGTTGAAAGAGTTGAAGGCAGCTGTTCGGAAACATGATGACTAATTGGGGAAAAAAAATGTACAGAAATACTTGGTGGGCAATGTATTTTTTTTTTTTTTATTGACAAGATTGACAGTTTATTACTACTTTAAGATTATTTGCGGAAACTCTGCCTGCTGCAGTGATGTGCCCCTATTAGCAGAAATATTTGAATTGTAATTTTACATCAAACTTGTCACTTTCTAGAGTGTTGGTATTAGAGCTTTCTGTACCACCTACCAATGTAGTGGGCACTTAACTGGTGTAGATTTGATTATGCAGTAAAACTATACAAAATACTTTTTTTTTGGCTAAACAGGAAGCCAAATCACAGTCTTTGAATGGACTGGCCAACAGTTGTCGGATCACAACCTTATCAAACTTTTGTGGGAAGAGTCTCACCTAGAGGTCAGGGAAAAATTCCGTAGTTTCCATCCACAACTGAGCGGCTCACCGCGCGTATTCGAATGTACAGAGCGGCTCTAACACAGGGGATGCAATGCACTTCAATGTGCATCGTTCACACCATTGTGGGGGGCCGCACGGTATGAAACAGCGCAGCCCTTGAAATAGTCCAAGCACGGTAATCCGGCGGATTCCACACGTTTGCGGCTAATAGCCACAAACGAGCAGCATCCGTGCAGATTTTAAAATATTAGCATTTTCGCCCCGCATGGTCTTGCGCACGGAAAACCATGCGGGAACCGCAGGTGCTATGGGTGAATGCAGCCTTAGGCTAAATTCACACCTGCCACTTACGTTTTTGTGCTCTATATGTAGAGGAAAACCTGTGAGGCTAGATGTTGCGTTGATGCTTCTAGATGCTTTAAATGATGTGCGTTTATATGCATATAGATAATCTGGTACCAAATCCTAGCATCAAAACGTGTTGAGTTGCATGAGTTAATAAGTTCAAAATGGTCCTAGATGCACAGACTTCTATTTTGTGAAAAAAGCAGATAAACTGACTGCAAATAAAAGCATCTAGACGCAAGGTGTGAATACATTGGAGCTCATTAGATGCATATACAGTCGTGTGAAAAAGGAAGTACACCCTCTTTGATTTAAATGGTTGTAAGTATCAGGACCTAATAAATATCATCTGGTCCTTAGTAGGTCTTAAAATTCAGTAAATACGTCAGATAAAAATTCTAAGACCTGCTAAAGAAGAGATGATTTTTATTAGGTCTTGATACATAAAACCATAGAATTCAAAGAGGGTGTACTTTCTTTTTTACACGACTCTATATGCACTTACAAAAGCTTTTTAAATGCATATAAAAGCATCTAAAATCACAGTGTGTATGAAGCCATGCAAGTTAGTTGAGTATCTAGAAAGAGCTACAAAGGGCATGAGTTGAAATATACCCCAAGAAAATCTTTAAACCAGCAAGAATACCAAAGGTCTGCACAGTTGTAATTACTGTAAAAGGAGGATTATTTTTGGAATACAACATTATTGAGTAAACAGAATATCATGAATTTCATGACATCAACATAGTGACTACAATTTCTGATCAATGAATGTTACCTCTGAATAAAAATATACATCCCTAACACAGAGCATTTCTAGGAGAATCCCAACTTTTGAACACAAGTATACAATCAAATGCAGCACTAGCTCCAAGACACTAGAAGAACATTAACTAGCACTGCAACATTGAGACATATCTGTGAGCAAGTCATTACTTATTACTTACCAAGCCAGCAATAGGCGTCGACAGCCTGTTTATCTTTTTAATGATCCCAGGCTTGATCTTGTTAATAAGGCTAAGTGTAGAAAGAATAACAAAATATGAGTGAAACACAAACAGGAATTATTTTGTTCAAAGTCATTTTAAAATGACATTTGTTTAAAACATGCAATCTAGCCCAAGAAATATGTTTAGGCTTCTATAACTGATAAAGAGAATCTATCCCAAAGCAGATATCATCCTCCAACTCCTTACTGCAGAAGTGACATCACTTCTAGTGATACAGAACAGGTTCAGCTTCACTGCCCCAGGAGTCAAATAACAGCACTGCTAATCTAAGGTCAGTCATATAGTCTGTTGGGTTTGGAACAGACTGCCCTAGGAAAAAGCATCTGCTGAAATGACCAAGATTAACATCTATGTGCATAAGCTTCTCTCAGTCTAGAGAATCCTGGCAATAGGAGAGCAGCTAATGTATATGTACTGTGATGGCAATCAAGCATACAGGGGGGATTTATCTAAACTGGAGCAGTCAGAAGCTGGAGCAGTTGCCCATGGCAAGCAGCTTCCATCATTCATTTTCAAGCTTAACTAAACAAACCGAAGAGAAGGTGATTGGTTACAGTGGGCAACTGCTCCAGTTTTGATAAAGTCCCCTTACAGCACCTGTACCCACAACGTTCTCTAAAACATGCTATATAAAAACACACCTTACATGAATCAAATTGGGTAAAAGAAATGGTGACACGGGTAATATTTTCCTTTTAATTAACCCCCATGCCTGACATACGTGTTGCAAACAAGATTTAAAACGGAACTCAAATTAGGATGGTTAAAACCTGTGAGGACTTTGCCTCCCTCTATATCTCTGCTGAAAGTATTCCTTTTAGCTTCTTGTTCTGAAGACATAACAGAAGGCGAGAAAGACAGATGTCACTGGAACCATTCCTGTGATGAAAGCCATACTTCAAAGTACCGCTGGTGCTTACCATGAGTACAGCACCCCATAAGAACTGAATAAGCCTGCAACAAACATACACAGGATGAAGAGGACCCATTGGGGAACCTTTCGGAAGAATGGCTGCATGGTGTAGGGCAGGGCCACACAGTAAAGATTGCTGAATCCGAGACAGATTTCAGTATTGGACAAATACTAGGCTGCACTCTGGGAGGGTGGGGAGGAATGCCTTTAAGGAAAACTGTACTTTGGTACAGTTTCAAAACCAAAAGATACAGTTGTCCTTTAAAATCAGAACTGCAGCCATAACATTTAAAATAGTTTAGATAAAGAAAATAGCTTTAAGACATCCGCCATTAAAGCTTGAGGATTAAAACTTAAATCTGTATATTAAATCATGCTTGGCTGGTCACTGAAATGTGGATGCAAAGAGTTGCAGAGTTGGTTTAAATAGTTTTATTGGTGTGGCTCCAGTGACATGCCATCAGTCCTTTAGAATTTACACACCCTGCATATTTTTCTCTAACGTGTAAATGCCAAATATGTTTGGCCTGGATACTTACTCACAAAACAGTAGGCCATTTTCAAGAGCGGAGCGAAAATCCTGGTTTCCAAAACTTTTACCTGTAACTTCCTACAATATAAAAGAAAAATACTAAATGAACTGATCACATAAATGTTAACAGTACTTATCCTGCAAGATAAATAGTAAACCTGTTTTAAGAAAATACACTGCTGTCTTTGTAGAATTTACCTGATGGGCAATTTAAAAAAAATTAGTTACAAAAAATAAAACAGATCGTAAATGGTGGGCATGAGAACCACCTAAAAAGATGGCCAGAAATAATGTGGCATACACATGCATTAGTGCCTTAGGGCTTGTTCACACCAAAAGCGTGTGCGTTCCAGAGCGGTAGTTGCTGAATGCACTGATCGCTAAGAAACTTCACCCGGCTTTCTGGAGCAGGAGGGGGCGTGGCGGTGCATTGAATTAAATGGCACCGCTTCCACTCCACCCCCCCGCAGTGCGATCGGACGCGTGGCAAAACTTTGCCTCCATTCCACTGCAAACGCAAAAAATAGACCAAGCCTTTTTTTGCGTTTGCAGTGGAATGGAGGCAAAGTTTTGCCACGCGTCCGATCGCACTGCGGGGGGGTGGAGTGGAAGCGGTGCCATTTAATTCAATGCACCGCCACGCCCCCTCCCGGTATTTTTACATTTACAAATAGATTACTTATCCAGATTAATGTTGAGCTGTTAGGGGAGTTCAACTGATAACCATGGAAATATTTCCCGCACATTTACAACATGAATGATTACATACGCTCTGCCAGTTTATCAAAAATTATTTCAGGCCCCCATTGTCCTGCTGAAGGAAGCCTAATGTAACTTTAGGTGACCAATAGCCTAACAGCTTTCCATACGGCATTTCAAAATTTTCATGGATGCCCTTAACTATTTTACCAAAATGCTTTATGTGCGTTACGTAAAGGCAGCCGAAAGCCACAAAACATTTTCTTTTCTACTATTGGCACTGAAGAACCCATTCTTTTGACTCCTTAGAAAAGGTGACTGTTAGCTTTTACTAGACTAATCTGACATGACCCGAAATATTGCATGGATCTGTCATTGACCCTGCATCACAGTTTAAGAAATGTAGTGATCCCCAGTGTCTTCCAAAATCGACTATCACTTCCTGTAATTTCAAAATCTCTGTCTGCTTTTTAAAGCCATCAGTCTCTTCAGGAACATATACTGTTGTGGTTTATCGTATAAAATGGCACATCGCTGTCAAACACAGATGTGCACCTTGTACAATTTCCAAACATGATTTCTTCAGAGGATTGTTTTCTTTCCATTTGATTTGATGTACAATAACGCATGCATTCTGGTATGAGCCCCCAAACTGGGTTTCTGGATTAAGGCTGAACTCCAGCCTACCCTTCTTGCACAACTGTACAAGCTCATGTCCTGTACTGAAATTACTTACACCGATTTCACTGCACACTGAGTTTCTCACATTCTGAATCCAAAGCCGCAGCAAGTCAGACAGAACCCACCTCATTTCTGGGTGAAGGACATCCAACATAATCTAGCTATTTACACTCCAGCCTAACTGTCCGTCACACACCTTTCATTTATTGAATTTCAGTTCTTTCAGTCAGTCTCAGCATGACATGTGGCAGCCAGCCTAGTTATGCCCACTCTTCCAAACTGGTATGCACCCATCAAGGCACTTGGTTATGTGTAGAACTCTACCCAAGAGTCAGCCTAGCTGCTTGCATCAGAGATGAGGGCCCTCATCTCTGATGCAAGCAGAAATACTGACACACACACACACACACACACACACACACACACACACACACAGCACAAGAAAGCACCAAGAACAAGGTTTTAAATAAAATCATTCCATTTTCATAACTTATTTTAGAACCAGTTAAGTCATTAGCATGTTAATGAGGGGGAGGGAAAATATCAGCAGATTAAACTTCATCTAACAATTATCGTGTTAATGAGTTTTAGGCATTCTTCACAGATCCTATTTCAGATGGCTTATAAAACAAACTGCAGTATGCCCCCTTAAAAAGGAGAACTATGAGGCGAGTGATTTTCACTCAACCTCATTAGTTCGAGCCGACGTGCGACAATGAAACTGTCACACGTCGGCTCAATAGATCGCGGGAAGTGAGCGAACTCATACTGTTGCTCGCTCACTTCTCGATCATGTCCCTGCAGAGAGCCGTGACTGTCACACATGGCTCCCTGCAGGGATTCCCGCTCCTCCAGCAATGACTGGGGCAACGGACGGGCTAGGGGTGGGCACAGCTGGCTCTTCCTCTAGATAGGCAGAGCCAGCTGTCAATCATGCAGCTGGGTGGATCTCGACAGCAATGTCGGGATCCGTCTCAGCTGCGGCGGTCTCGGTATACCCCATGACACTTTGGAGAACTATGGGGAAAAGCACTGACCCCATAGTTCTCCTTTAGGCTATTAATTTTTTTACCCTTTAAGTACTATAACAAAACTCTGAAGAGATATTCTTATAGAAGTTAGAAAGGTTCTTGCATTCAATCTTCTGCCTTTTGCTTTTCAATCACCTCTTCAGAGTTGCTTGAAAAGTTATTTTAGCTACATAGTGTATGTTATGCTAAGGGAAGGACCTTGCAGAAGTTAGACCTTCCAGAAACATGTGTATTTATACTACAAATGACTTGACTACAAAAAAACACCAACCCCATAGTTCTCCTTTAAAAACACATTTAATTTTGCATGACAATACATCTGGCTATGAAATAGCACCCCATAAAATAACTAGGAATTCTCTAGTTTAATTGCTGTCTATCGTATCTGTGGTTGAGATTTTCCCTCACCTTTCAGAGTGGTCACCAGAATAGGAAGTAAGCAGAACCTGTCCAATGGGTATACTGCAGTAAAATTACATAAAAGGAAGATCTAGAAGTCCTATCGGATTTTATTGGTATTGGTGTTCCCTTCGTGGCAAGTACTCTAATGCAGCCTTTCTTAACCACATTGACGTGGCACACTGGTGTGCCTCCTGACCTTTTCAGGGGACTGTGATGCGAAGAGGAAAATGACTGATGTGAAGGGGTGTCCTGATGTAAAAGGGGTTACTCTGATGTGAAGGGGGGGCTCCGATATGAAAGTGGGGCTCCCAATGTGAAAAGGAGACTCTGGATGTG